TTGTTCCCAGGCTGAAAGTCAAAACCACAGCTCTGCACCAGCTACTAAGGAGGAGAAAAATGACTGCTGTACCTGAACCCAGGACACTTTGATACTAAAGATGCACACAAAGGTAGAATCTGTTTATGTCTTTTATTAGATTTCAGTTGTATAGCACACACAGTGCAAATACACAGCTTAAATCCAGAAGGTGACCTATCCAAAATGACAGGTAACATTTTATTCAATGGGATTTCTTTATTTTCTCTGAGCATATATTTGCAAAATCAAATCCATACTAATCAGGTACTTCCTCTGTAAGTGAAGGTTTGAATTCTTGATCAAAAGCAATCGTAATTTCAACTTGGTTGACCATTCATGTGTTGACCTGCCATAACTGACTTCGTGCTGTTTGCATCACTCATGAGATCTTTTAAGTTAGAGTGGCAATACCCACTTTTATACAGATGAATCATACTGGTGTTCCTGTGTCTTACACTTTTCAGCTGCATCTGCAGTCCCTAGAGCCATACCTCCCTCCCTAGGAAGCAGTAACACACCTCACCCTCAGCAGCAGCTTCCCCTGTGCTGAGCACTGAGAGAAACAAAGCCTGACATCCCTCTCCACCACCTCTGAGTTCAGATCTGCGTTATGTCCCAGCCTAACTTCCCAGGCATCTCACACATTAGAACCAGAAATAAACAAGGTCATTTAACTTCCCACTTGAGGTATCTTCAGATGTTAGCCACGGTGCTCAGGTACCACATTACCTGAGACACTTGGATCCCAAGTTGTACAATTCTGAGCCTGCAAACCTACAGTAGGATGAAAAAGAACGTTAACACTGGTGTCAGAATTTGCCTGCTTTACACACTGTTCTTCATAAGTTCAACTTTCAAGGAGTCAGGTTTGTGTGATCCTGAATATCCAGAAACACATTTAATAGTTGATTTGAGGATCAAGTCATACCAGTCTCACTTTCCCTTCGAATTAGAAAGGTCTCTAAGAATTAATGCTTCAGTTTGCTTAACAAAGGCATACTTCTTATTTGTTACTATTAACTGGGGGGGTGGGGTGGGGGGGAAGCAAAATAATAATTTTACGAAGTATTTTTATTAAAAATATTCCAGATTTCCCTCACTTTTTAAACCTGCTCTTAGAATAAAAGATCTAAACAGTGTTAACTGAAGCTCTGTCAGTTGCTGAAGGGAGCTGCTCCAGCACAGCAGATCTTGGTGTACAGGGGAGCTCCTGAGGCCAGGAAATGCTGTGGAACTGGAGCAGTCAGCTTGCATGGGAGATGCTGGAAAGGCCTGGGCATTGCAAGTACTTACAAGAAGCAGCCTGAGGAGCAGTAGTGACCAGGAGTGCTGCCAACAGAGCATTTATGTGTAAGGGTGTGCAGGAAGGGCATGCTCACCCTGCCAGCTCAAAAGGTGAGTTCAGTTGGTGGTCATCACCTCCCAGACGGAGCTTAGCTGCTGTATCCACCCTGCAGAAAGCTCTCTTTGACATGCGAGTGTCATGTGAGCTACAGAAGGTCCCAACTTCCTCAAAATAGAAAAAAGGAATTATCCTTCCCACTTCTCTCAGGGAGCACTATTAAAATAGATAATAAATATTTAAATGAGTGAATGCTCCCAGAAGAAGTGAGTAACAAACATCAGTGTAATACTCAGCCCCATTAGACGGCATCACTGTTTGAAGCAAGCTCCCTGTGGGCAAACTGCATGCAGATCTTCACACACACTGACAGCTTTCTTCCTTGAAATTGATAATACGAAGTCAATGTTTTCTAACCAGGGAGGCAGGCCTGAAAAGCATCTTACCTTCTTGAAGCTTATTTGCTATTAGAAAATAATGTTTGTATTGTTGCTTTCTTAAATTTTGGTGGCCTTAGTAATGGCTTAATAATAAATAAAAGCAATAGTTTAACAATGCTGCAATGCTAAAACATTTGCAAAACTAAAAAAGAAGTGTGTAAAATGAGGCCTATTTTACATGCTAAAAACTTATGTCTGTGACATTTTAATTGTGAGCAATAAAAATTAACAGACACCTTAGAAAAGATTAATTTTAGATTTGGGTTTTATTGCTTAAATATAGATTGCACAGTGTGTTCTTACATTGATTGAAACTGGATCAATTACATACAGTACAGAATATATGACCATCAGAACAACAGACAGATTAGCCCTACTCTTGATTAGGGACAACCAGTTATTTCTATCTTCTGAAATCAACAAGGATTTAAATTTACTTTAAAATGACCCACTATCATAATCTATAATTTTTCAAAATGACATAATGAGAAGGAGAACCCAGAGCAAAAGCTGGAACACATTTAAACAGCTGGATTTATAACCATTGTGACAGTACTTGGGGTGTTGCAGATAACACAGGGCCAGTATGCATATGGAGCTTTTAAGTTCTGCAACTTGCCTCAAGAACATAAAGAGACCCGTGAAACAAAGCAGCTTTATACTGTACAACAGCATTCTTAATTCATTTGGTTTCGTTCACTGGCTACACATAACAACAGCTACCAAACCAATCCATTTTACAGTCACTCCCATCTCCCATCTTTCTACAAAGGCCAGAGTGAACCAGTTACCAACTTACAGACTCCTTGAATTTCCAGAAAGGAAGAAATTAAGTATCTGTGTGTGAACACACAGAGTGTTACAAGCTTTTCATTCCCTGCACAACACCTGCACAACACCTGCTTTTCCCAAACAAAGCTCATTCAAACATTGAAAATGTGGAACCTTACCATTAGCACAAATGAAAAATACTTCATAAACAGAAAATGAAATGCTGAATCTAGTTATTTTCACATGCAGCATTCATGCAACAGAATTCAATCACAGAAACAATCCTGTATTTACAGCATAGTCTCCATTCTGCAAGAGTGCAAACAGAAGTACATTCTTTATTTCTTAGACTCCTTATTTCATTTTTGTACAAAAGTGCAGTGTTTTTCTTAGAAAATGACAGAGTGGACAAGTGTTTTACATTGTATCCCTAGATTTACTATTTAAAAAATTACACTCTTTATATAGGCCACAAAACTATGACGTCTTACCTTAAAAAAACCCCAAAAAGTGAAAACTAAAAGCTAGAGTCCTATTTATGTGTAGGCTGTGGTCTGATCAGGCTGAAACGCTGCAGCAGTAAAAATCACAACGGAATGCTGTAGATAAGGGGCTGTTTCGTCATCCACTAACAGCTGTGATTGCACTGTTAAACTGAAAAGAAGGTCTCAATTACCTTTTGAGTTTTGTGAATGCTTTCTGAAAGTCTCAGCATGTTATCTCATAGGTTTAAGTAGCTGATATTTCTCTGATGTTATGTCACATCAGGCTTTGGAAAGTTGTTCAGTGGAATACTGTACTACAGTTTAAAAAAAACACCTTAAAATCCTCTTTACAGTGGGTTTGCAAATGCTCAGCCAGCACACAATAGCTGGCAGATAACCATTCAGATCATGGATTAATTTAGGTTGGGTCTTGTGAAGGTCAACTAAGCCAAGCTCCTGCTCAAAGCAGGGCGAACTGAAGTTAGTTCACTTTGTTCATGGCCTGATCGCTGTTTATCTAAACTGCTAACTTAAGTGTCTTACACTGATATATATTAAATAGGTATTTGAGA